GAGAAATCGGGTTACACGATCGCTGATTTTGGGTCACGATCCAGCTTGCGATTCCGGTCACGTTTTCGGTCACGTTTTCGACGATCGTTACGCAACGGCTCTAACCGGATTTCCCTCTAACAATAGTATACCGCGAATACTGCCGGGAAACCCATTTAAGGTAAGTGATCGACATAGCCGTTTATTCGTTACTGCGCCACACCGATCACCTGCTTATACGAGCTTCCGGCATTACCATCCTACTGTTCACAATATATGAAAAATCAATTCGGAGCGGAACCCGATATCACGTGATGTGATAACTAGATTTCAAGATTTTGAATTGTAATTTTAGAGTAAAACCAACCATACTTACAGCAAAGACAGTGCCCGATCCCTCTCGCCTGTGATTAATCACAAATTAAATTATTTATGTTGGATTCAATTGTGATGGATATAATCCCCCACCAGTTTTAATATATGTGTAACACATTAACTGTCTCTGCGATTAACTATACTATAAGGCTTTAGCTGATCTCCCACATTTGACCTTATAATATTTTCCGCTAAGTAAAATTTATTCACCGACACTTTTATCCCGTTGATTAAGGCGTTTGAGAAAGCCCTAAGTTTAGTGGTATTAAATTGCCACAATAGATTGAAATAATTATCTCAATCGCTACTTGGGTGTATTATAGACAGTTTATAGCAATACATTAGTGTATTGATAATAGTGCAAAAATAGATAGCTTATGAGTCATATAGAGAGAGCTGCTCGAGAACAGCCTAAGTCTTTTTTAAAGCTCGGTTATTAGAACTATTTGTTACAATTTTTAGTAAGATTGCCTGTGAATATTTAACTTTAATCGATAAAATTTTTATCAATTTTTTGTTAGTAATATTTCGTTATTCCATTTCTTTAAATTATTTATTCACTTTTGTAATATTCAATTTCAACCAGGCGGTGAAGCCACCACCTCTAGTTTTATTAATAATAAATTCAATAATACGAAATAATTTGTACTACATATAGGCTAAAATTGTTATTGTTCGGAGTGAAGTGGAAGATACTATGTCAGTTTGTCTGACCGCATCAAGTAATATACAACCAATCACATTCAACTAATCAACAAAAATAATAGATACTAAATATAATATTGTATATATTATGATGTATATATTAAATATTGACTCCGGACATACATTTGCATATATTATGATGTATATATTAAATATTGACTCCGGACATACATTTGCTTAGTCTATAGAAATTTTATATACTTTAGAAAGCAAAATCGGCACTATCACTTCAGATAAATATCAAATAGCATAAAAATTAGTGATTAGCAAAATTATAGTAATAAGTGTAAAGCTTTAAGAGATTTCAATCTATCAAGAATTTCTCTTATTTCAGGTCGTTCAGAAGGGTCTTTATCCCAACATTTAGAATATAAGTCAATATATTCCAAAGGAGTTCCATCTATGGGCTCTTCTCGCATGCCTTTAACAATTTTTTTGCATAAATTAGTTGATAAATAATCCTCTTCATTAAAAGGTGCTCTGCAGCTTGAAAGTTTCCAAAGAAGGACACCAATACTATAAATATCTGACTTTTTATTAAGATTATATCCATTGTCGATAAACTTTTGGGGATCAATATAAGGAAGTATCCCAAAAAAATCATTTTTGGATGACATTTTACTATTGAGATCTTTTGATAAGCCAAAATCAGTAATTTTTATGCTTCCATTATGAATGAGGATGTTATTCGGATGCTAATAAAAAGTTATATACTTATTAGATTAAAATCACTAAATAAATTATTTTAAAATAATGCTTACCAAATCGCGATGAGCGATATTCTTTCCGTGTAAATAAGATATTCCTTCAACTATTTGTATTGCTAATTCAACTTTCCTTTTCCAAGAAAGTTTAGTGGTTTTCAAATATTTCGGTAAAGTCCCACCTTCTGCATATTCCATTAGAACGTAGTAAACTTCACGATGGTAATCTTTATTTTAATTAAATATTAATAAAAGATTTTTATCATTTTGCGCATATGCGTTGTAACGCACCCATAAGATCAAGTGTAACGTGAAATCAAAACAAACCAATTAGCGCATTAATTTAGGGTAAGGGCCAGTGTTAAGGTAGATAAGAATTAAGTAATAATAAAACTGATTTTAGTATCAAAATTTTGCAAGGAATTTTTTTTATTAGAACGCGAAAAATGGTTTCATAAGCAAAATTTTGAACTACAAGCGATTTTTAGAAAAATCGGTATTTTCTTTCGATTTCACGTTACATCTGATCTTACGATCTGATTGGTTGATCAGGTGGGTGCGTTACAACGCATATGCGCTAAATTACATAAAAATATACTTTCGCATGAAAAAAAATAGACACTAACCACGACTTATTCCGTAAAATTCAATAATTTGTGGATGTGAAACTTGACTATGTAATTTTAACTAATTAAGCATTATAGAATGTTGAAACTTATGTCAATGTATAGTTTTGAACCAATTTAGCGATTTATATGGATATACTAAAATAATATCCTCATTAAACCCTAATAATACAAACCTCGTTAAGAAACATTTTAATTTGTTTTTCAACTGCATTTTCTGGAATATATATTTCTTTTGCAGCGATCTTTTCACATTGTATTGATTTACAAGAAGTACAAAAAACATTTCCATATGCACCACGATCAATATACTTCAATTTTCCAAGATCATCGTAAATTATTTCTTTCAAATGATAATCATTAACCGCCATTTGGAACCAATTTTTGTTGACAATAGAAAGTTCTACAAAATGTAATAAGAAGGCAAAGCTTATTGATCCGTATTATTTCACCTAAATTCACTTAATTGGCAACTTAGTTCACCACAGTTAACTTATAGACAAGCAGGTTTACCGACGATTAATTTCATAGACAAGTTCATTATACAGATAATTTATTCTACCAACAGCTCTTTTCATCAACAATTTCTCTAAAAAATTGCACTAACTTTAATTCTGAACCTGTCCCTAAAGGCAAATGGCCAGAATTACTTTGTCAGTGAAATAAACTGTCCGTGAAATGAACTTGGCAGTAAATTAATTGTCGGTGAACAAATAAGCTGTTATTAATATAAATAATTTATTTAAAATTTCGCATAAAAAAGATAGCAAACCTATTGAATTTGAATATTGAACGGAAATATGATTCGTCAGTTTGATGATATTTACCAATAAAATAGTGTAATTTACAAAATTACCTTTAATTTCATCTCTAATTGCTTTAATTGCATCTCCTTTAAATGTTTTTGATACTTCGTCGGAATGTTTTGATGAGAAAATTGGTAAATCTTTGATTGCTTTATCTGCCTCTAGGAACTGCTTTTTAATTTCATTTTCATCATCTGAACTTTCCATGCTTTTATTCCATTCATTAAGTTCCTTCCAAATATCATTAACAGTAGGCCGTTTATTTGGATCAGAATCCATGCATTGCTTACCCAATTCAATATAGCAATTCGGAGTTCCAGGTGCAAATTCTGGTCGTGATCCTCTACAAATTTGTAATGCAAGTTTTGTATCAGACTTATGGCCATCAAAAGGTCTTTTTCCAGTTGACATCTCTGACATGATGGCTCCGAAGCTATAAATATCTGAAGCTTGCATAATCTTTTGACCTAATAAAACCTCTGGCGCTACATAAGGTATAACTCCATAAATATCATCTTGCGAATCATTTTTTTCATCTACTTTTCTGGACGCTCTTAGGGCAGAGACATAAGATTTCAAAGTTGTGCTAATGCCTTCATCTATTAGAATATTGCCACTATTAAGGTTTGCATGAATATACCCTGCTCTATGGATACTATTTAAATCACTTGAAATATCGAGAAGTTGTGTTAATTTTGTTTTCCAGGTAAAGTTACGAAAATTCTTTCTTAAAAACTGGTGAAGAGTTCCATTATTGGCATATTGAAATACCATCATATATTGATTTTCATTGTTTTGAGTTAATCCGTATATTTTAAGGTTTAAGCCATGCAAACTACATTTTATATGATGTTCAAACTTTACAATTGTTAGATAAATTAGTTCATTATATATTTAATAAACTGTTGAATAAAATAGATTTAACTCACTCCTTTTAAAGAATCGATCAAGGTTATAAGTGCAACGATGCTGGATGGTTTACGTTCTCTTACATAATTCACATCAACATTTCGTATGCCATCTAACCAGGTTGCTGAATATACACCTTCGTCAATTTTTATGATATTATCTAATCTATTAAACGGAATCAATTCAATCGCATCTTCATATTTCCATGCTCGAAGTTGTAATTCTTTCATGCAATTATCAATATCCTTATTTCTACTTGTCCACCTTGTTGCTCTATCAGGGTCGCATGATAGGCACCACGCTGGTTGCGTGTTATATTCATCACAAAATGCACATTTTCCATATTTAGGGTCGCTTTATAATACAACATATAATTTATAATATTTTATTTCATCTGCAAATGCTATTTTAAACTTCATACCAAATGTAATTAATTCTTTACTTACCGACTGGATTAATGCGAATGAGATTATTTGAAGGATATCATGGGAAACAAGGAACCGGTGATCATCACATCACGTGAAATAATGCACTACGTCATTTGTTTACTAGCACCAAACAAATCAGCCTAACTTAGGCCGAGCTTAATAATGTGATGCGATTATCTCTTGGATCTTCCCCAGCATCGGAAAGTCTACGGACACGTACCAGTCACATGACCCTAACCTAACTAAATGTTATGGACACGTACCAATCACCAATCTAAGTTTAGGGTACGTGCGATTTCACGTGTCTCGTACGTGTCCGTAGACTTTCCCCCCAGCATCGCCATAAAAATTCTACTATCACGTGATGATCAAAAAATTCTTTAAAGTTCATTTAGGTTAGGGCTAGGTACTAGTGGGTTTATAGTAAAATTGCTCAAGGTCTTTTTGAATTTTCTTGATCGTGCTACGTTACACCAAATCATGGCTCATTATTGGTCAATTTGCCGTCTATAGCCACGTGATAGTAGAATTTTTATGGCGATACTGCAGTACTGGGGTAGTTTTCACTTGGTTCCTTGTGCTTCAAACTTTCCAATAAATTTTCTTCATACTCACCGACTAAATTTGATGCAAATGAATTGATTTGAAGGGTATTACATAACTATTTGTCCCTAATTTGTAGACTTGTTTTACTGTCCTTAATTCCAATAATCAATAAATGTTCTTTATACTCACTCACTAAATAAATGATTAAAGTGAATGAAACGATTTTAAGGGTATTATTCAATGGTAAATAAGTATTTATGTTATTGGTTTATGAAGTTGTTTTACTGTTTTTAATTTCAATAATTAATAAATGTTCTTCATACTCACAAGCTGAATGAAATGATTAATACGAAAGAAATAATTTGAAGGGTATTACGTAATGGTAAATAAGTATTATGTTCTTGATTTGTGAACTTGTTTATAATTCCAATGATTAATAAATGTTCTTTATACCCACCAACTAATTAATGGCAATGAAATGATTCGAGGGAATTACGCGATGGTAAATAAGTATTATGCTCTTGATTTGTGAACTTGTTTTTAATTCCAATAATCAATAAATGTTCTTTATACTCACTAACTAATTAATGCCAATGAAATTATTTGAAGGGTATCACGTTATGGTAAATGAGTATTATACTCTTGATTTGTGAACTTGTTTTTAATTCAATGATTAATAAATGTTCTTTATACTCACTAACTAATTAATGCGAATAAAATGATTTGAAGGATATCATGTAACGATAAATAAGTATTGCATTCTTGATTTGTGAACTTCCAATGATTAATAAATGTTCTTTATACTCACGCACTGAATGAAATGATTAATGCGAATGAAATGATTTAAAGAGTATTACGTAATAGTCAATAAGTATAATGTTCTTGATTTGGGACATGTTGTTTAATTTCAATGATTAATAAATGCTCCTTATACTTACGAACTGAATGAAATTATTAATATGAATAAAATTATTTGAGGGGTATTATGTAATGGCAAATAAGTATTATGTTTTGGAAACTTGTTTTAACTCTAATGATTAATAAATGTTTTTTATGCTTACGAACTGAATAAATGATTAATATGAATGAAATGGTTTGAATGGTATTACATAATGGTAAATAAGTATTATGTTCTTGTAAACTTATTTTTAATTTCAAGAGTTAATAAATGTTCTTTATACTTACTAACTAATTAATGCAATCAAATGATTTGAAGAGTATTATGTAATGGTAAATAAGTATTAGGTTCTTGATTTGTGAGCTTGTTTTTAATTTTGATGATTAATAATGTTCTTTTTATACTCACTAGCTAATTAATGCGAATGAAATGATTTAAAGGTATTATGTAACGGCAAATAAGTATTATGTCCTTGATTTGTGAACTTATTTTTAATTCCAATGATTTAATAAATGTTCTTTATACTCACGTACTGAAAGAAATGATTTGAAGGGTATTACATAATGGTAAATAAGTTTTATGTTCTTGATTTGTGAACTTGTTTTTAATTCAAATGTTCTTTATACTCACACACTAAATAAAATGATTAAACAAATGAAATTATTTAAAGGGTATTAGGTAATGGTAAATAAGTGTTATGTTCTTGGTTTTTGAATTTGTTTTAATTCCAATGATTAATAAATGTCCTTTATACTCACGGGCTGTATGAATAATTAATGCAAATGAAATGATTTGAAGAGTATTACATGATAGCGATGGTAAATAAAGTATTTGTGTTCTTGATTTGTGAACTTGTTTTTAATTCCAATGATTAATTATGTTCTTTATACTCACGAGCTGAGAAATGATTAATGAGAATAATATTATTTAAATGAGTATTATGATATTGATTCGTGAACTTGTTATTAATTACAATAATTAATAAAAGTTCTTTATACTCACTCACTGAATGAAATGATTCGAAAGATATTACGTAATATAAATAAGTATTACGTTCTTGATTTGTGAACTGTTTTTCTGTTTTTGATTCCAACGATTAATAAATGTTTTTTGTACTCACGGACTTAATGAATGATTAAATGATTTGAAGAGTATTACATAATGGTAAATAAGTGTTACGTTCTTGATTTGTGAGCTTGTTTTTAATTCCAATGATTAATAAATGTTCTTAATACTCACTCACTGAATGAATTAGTGCGAATGAAATGATTTGAAGGTATTACGTAACGATAAATAAGTATTATGTTCTTGATTTGTGGACTTGTTTTTAATTCCAATAATTAATAAATGTTCTGTATACTCACGCACTGAATGAAATGATTTGAAGGGAATTGCGTAATGATAAATAAGTATTATGTTATTGACTTGTAAACTTATGAATTTACTAATTTCCTCATCACTTCTGATTGGTTCTACTAATTAGGCCTTCCGAAGTTAATTCTTCGGTTAACATCACCCCCAGCTAGTGTTACGGCCTAAACCCTTTACCGAAGTCCGAAACGTTTCGGCTTTTGAGTTTCGGTTTCGCCCCAAATCCGAAACTGGGCGAAACTAGGCGAAACTTGATCAAAATTAACATATTACGTGACGCAGACTTCGATGCAACGATTTTTAAAAGTCACGTGACCGCTGCATTTAAAATCGACCATTGGGAATTTCTAAAATCCCATTAGTCAATTTTAGGTGCAGTGGTCACGTGACTTTGGAAATTCCATTGGCCAATT